AATCTTGATTGTAATTAGGTTCTTAGTAATTTTGTAATTCAAAAAGAAAGAAGAATTAAGTATTAAAGGAACAAATATTGATACGTTAAGTGTATGTTTACATTTAGAAATCTATTCTTTAATTTCACGTTCACAATATATGGTTCAATATGAATATCATTGGAATCTATGCTTATATACAATTAATTTCATATTGTAATTTCTGTGACTTTAGTGTTATAGAAATAATATCAGTGTGATGTACTCTAAATTTAAGTGATTTTTGGCCTAGGGCCTCCATACTTCTAAAGCCGGCCCTGTTAGTATGGTTAGAGTTTGTTAACGGTTGAACCGTATTTTGACTGTATATATAGCCCATTCTGTACGTGAGAATGAGAACATAATATCAATATTGATCATCTTCTTCCTCTTACTTCTATTTTCAGTCTTAATTCAGCATGTATATTCTCGTTATCTCTTTCTAAGCTTGGAAGATAACCTGGATTGCATCAGAAACAGAGAGGATCGATGCCTTGCGCGTGCGGAAGAAGATGACAGGCTAAGATCGGTCATTTTTGTGGGAATTGTCAAAACAACAGTCATATCATTGGAATCCAAGAGTCTAGTAATAATATGCGGGTCATTTTTTCATATATAATTGCAATTTTGATATAACAAAGTCAATTATTAGATACCATGTCATGCAAATTTTTAGATACCATTCGTTACTTACATTTTTTTTTCTGTTGGAGCAGATTTTTTGTTGTGATTGGAGCTGATTCTTTTCTGTATAGAAACTTTACTGAGTTGCATTAAACATATTTTGACTATACAAATGAGACTTAGTGCGGCATATCATTTATAATCTTTTCTGATATCAGTTGTTTTTTAGTGCGGCATATAATTTATAATCTTTGACTTTATCCACCCGTTTCTATTTGTTGTCATTTAAGTTGATCATGTGATTACTAAGATTTATTAGTGATGTAAAAGTAAATTGTTTCATACTTCCGTATCCGATTTAATATTAATTAAAATGCTGAACTGAAAAAACTTAATCATTTAACTTTTGAAATTCTTTTATTGAAATTATAGCTACCTGGTTGAAATCAATATTTGCCCACTTCGAATGACCTCAAATGGAGAATACAGTCAACACACAATTTTGAATTCGTCTATTTTCTACTCATGGTAATGATTATACAGGAAAAGATGGCGCAGTTTTGACTTTGACAAGCAAATGAACTTAGAAAGTTGCTATTCAGATTGTGCTGGTTTGTTGAGAAATTCAGTCCCAATTAAGGATCTAATCTCACTAAAACATGATAAAATTCATATAATCAAACAATAAGAACACTAACCGGTTAGGGAGAAACCATGCTTTGATTGTGTTGTAGAAGATGATGAAGCCATTGATTATAGATTCTCTAAGGATACAAGCGGATTTCGATGGATTGAACGATCTCCCTTGGGTCTCTTAATATAGGTGTTATTGAGACCTTTGGGAAGAAACACGTTCTTTAGTTTTAGTCGTAAGAGGAACAAACGAGCCTTATATCTTGTATCAAAGAGAAACCTCATTGGCCCCTTATGTATTATTTAATGTTAAAACATACTCATCATATGTTAACTATACATAAATACAGGGACCAAATCTGTCATATGGCAAACTTAATGGTAAGACATAAATGTCCCCAATTTATATTAAATTATATAAATGGTCCAAGGGCACTTAAATGGAATGTTTTCCAACATTCTCCCACTTGACCTTGAGATCATTTATACAATTATACATAAGTTAAAGTATTAGTTGGCCAAGAAAAATTCATCTTACTCCATAATAATATCAAAGCAAACAAATACAGTCTAACGGGTCAATATAACCCGGGACCCCCATTAATCATACTTTGACACTTCTTAAAGAGTATAAGGATTAATATAAGCCAAATGACATTAAACTTAGGGTATTATGTTTGTCTATTAAAATAACTTTGTGTGCACAATGAAGAATAGACAAAACATACTTAGGGAGGAATTTTAAATCAAGTACTTGAAATTAATACATAAGATAGTTATTCAGGCACTGCGCTATAATTTCCTAAACAGGATCTTTCATCAAGCCCATATTAGTGACATGTCTTTGAAAAATACTGGGTGAAAGTCCTTTAGTGAGAGGATCTGGTAGCATATTATTCGTGCTGATGTGTTCGATACAAATTTTGTTTTCCTCCACTCTTTCTCGAACGAACAAATACTTTGTATCAAGGAACAATCCCGCTCCACTCGAACTGGTATTGTTTGAGAAGCTCACGGCCGCGGAATTGTCATAATAAATCCTTAGTGGTCATGAGACAGAATTTACTACTTTGAATCCTTTGATAAGATTCCTTAGCAACATCCCATGACACGTTGCGTTGTACACCGCAACATATTCAGCCATCATTGTTGAAGTAGTCGTAAGTCTTTGTTTGTGGCTTTTCCAAGATATTGGCCCACCTGACAGCAAGAAAATGTATCCCGAAGTAGACTTCCTATCATCTTTGCACTTAGCAAAGTCAGAATCGGAATATCCCACCACTTCTAAATTATTAGACCTCTGGTAAGTAAGTTTGTACTCTTTAGTCCCTTGAAGATACCGCAAAACTTTCTTAGCGGCTTTCCAATGATCTAATCCTGGGTTAGATTGATATCTACCCAACATGCCGGATACATATGCGATATCTGGACGAGTACAAACTTGAGCATACATCAGGCTTCCAACTACAGAAGCATAAGGAATGAGTTTCATTTGCTCTTTCTCAACCTCGGTTTTTGGGCATTGGAATGACCCAAAAACGTCTCCCTTAACTACTGGAGCAACTGATGGAGAGCATTGTTGCATGTTAAAACGTTCTAAAATACGCTCAATGTATGCCTTTTGGGACAAACCTAACGTCCCTTTGACTCGATCTCGGTGAATTTCAATGCCTATAACATAAGAAGCTTCACCTAAATCTTTCATGTCAAAATGGCCAAATAATAAGCGTTTTGTTTCATGCAATAAATCCAGATCACTACTTGCTAATAAGATGTCATCAACATATAACACAAGTATGATGAATTTGCTCCCACTCATTTTGAGATAAGTGCATTGATCTACTTTGTTTTTAATGAAGCCATTTGATTTCATGACTTCATCAAATTTGAGGTACCATTGTCGAGACGCTTGCTTGAGCCCATAAATAGACTTCTTGAGTTTACACACTAGATGTTCTTGACCCTTAGAAACATAACCTTCTGGTTGTATCATATAAACATCTTCGTGTAAATCTCCATTTAAGAAGGCTGTTTTGACGTCCATTTGATGTAGCTCAAGATCAAAGTGAGCTACTAAAGCCATAACGACCCTTAGGGAGTCCTTTCGAGAGACAGGTGAAAAGGTCTCTTGATAATCTACACCTTCTCTTTGAGTGTAGCCCTTAGCAACCAATCTTGCTTTGTATCTTTCAATGTTTCCATTTGGATCTAATTTATTTTTAAAGACCCACTTGCTTCCAACGGGCTTATGACCCTTTGGTAATTCAACAAGTTCCCAAACATTGTTCTTCTCCATGGAAAGAAGTTCTTCATTCATGGCTTTTTTCCAATAAATCGATTGGTCACAATTAATGGCGTCATGGAAAGATATAGGATCTACGACTTTCCCTAAATCAAAGTCGGCTTCTTCATTTAAATATATCAAATATTCGTCAAAATTTGTGGGGCGTCTCACCCTTTGAGATCTCCTTAAGGATTGCTGATTTTCTGGAATTTCATTAGAAACAGGTGGAGTTGGTTCAACATTTATTGGAGTTTCATTCGCCTCTTGACTTGTTGCATCATTATTATGAGGTGTATGACTTTCACTATGATCTTCAAGTGAAGAGTTAGGTAGAATGGGCAGTATAATAAGTGGATTCATTCCATCACCTTCTTGAAGTTCATCATTAATGTTTGAACCATTACTACTCCCACTAATGATAGTATTCTCAAGGAATTCAGCATGTCGGGTCTCGACAATCCGGGTAGTATGAGATGGGCAATAGAACCTATATCCCTTAGATCTCTCGGGATAACCAATAAAGGAACAACTAATAGTTCTCATGTCAAGTTTCTTCAATTAAGGATTATACACTTTTGCTTCAGCCGGACAACCCCACACTTTTAGGTACCGTAGACTAGGCTTCCTTCCCGTCCATAACTCATATGGAGTTTTAGGAACAGATTTAGATGGTACTCTATTCAATATGTGGGTTGCTGTTTTAAGGGCCTCGATCCATAAAAATTGGGGAAGATTTGAGTTAGCCAACATACTTCGGACCATATCCATAAGAGTCCTATTCCGCCTTTCGGCAACCCCATTTTGTTGAGGGGTGCCAGGCATAGTATATTGGTTGATGATCCCATGTTCTTTACAAAATTCATGGAAAGAACAGGGAGCTTGACCAATATCGATGTGTCGACCATAGAACTCACCACCCCTATCCGATCTCACTACTTTGATCTTTCGATCAAGTTGATTTTCAACTTCGGCTTTATAAGCCTTGAACATATCTAGTGATTCGGATTTTTCCTTAATCAAATATAGGTACATATAGCGTGAGTAATCATCTATGAAAGTAATAAAGGAGTTATGACCACTAATGGAATCGGGAAAAGGCCCACAAATATCCGTGTGTATTAATTCTAACAAACCGGTGCTTCGCGTGGCGCCTTTCTTAGTTTTCTTAGATAATTTCCCTTTCAAACACTTCACACATTTGTCATAATCTGAGAATTCAAGATTTGGAAGAATGCCGTCTTTCACGAGTTTTATCATTCGATCTCGTGATATGTGGCCCAACCTTTGATGCCACAAATTGGACGACGATTCCAATTCTCTCTTTCTCTTGCAAGGATTTTCAGTTATATTAAATGACAATGGGGATTCCATAAAATTAGTGTCTAAGCATAACTTATAGAGGTTTCCCTCCATGCTACCAAATCCTATTACATTTGAGTTCAAGCTTATTGTCACTTTATTGTATACAAAATTAAATGTAAAACCATCAGCACTTAGTTTCGATACAGACACTAAATTACGAGTAATATTAGGTACATAAAGAGCATCACGAAGATGAAGAATGAAGCCATTCTCTAAAATTAATGAGATAGTTCCAATGGCCTCCACTTCTAATTCTTCTCCGTTGCCCACCTTAATCACTCTTTGCTTTCTTCCCAATGTCCGGATTGAATGGAATCCCTGCAGTGTGTTTGAAACATGAACCATTGAACCAAAGTCAATCCACCAAGTATTAAGGGGAACTGATGTGTTCAATGACTCATAAATAACATAAGTGGTTAAGTTACCTTTCTTAGTCAACCATGCCTTAAACTTAAGACACCCCCTCTGGTAATGCCCTTTGAAACGGCAAAACTTACAGTAGGGACCAGAGTTCACGCTTGCACCTATCTTTGGGACCTTAGAAATGTTACCTTTTCCTCCTCCTTGACGGTTGCCTTTCCTTTTCTTTGAGTTTGTGGTGGTGAGATGAGCAACATCTGGTCTTTCAGCTTTAAGGCGCTCTTCTTCTTGAACACACATAGCAATCAACTCGCTCATTGTCCACTTCTCTTTCTGCGTGTTGTAATTGATCTTGAATGGACCATAAGACGCAGGTAGAGAAGTCATTATGAAATGAACGAGGAAACCTTCACTAATCTCCATGTCCATACTTTTGAGCTTGTTAGACATATCAGACATTTTCATGATGTGCTCACGAATACCACTTACTCCATCATACTTACTCGTCAACATTTTGAGAATTAGGGTACTGACATGTGCTTTAGAAGTGCCCTTAAATTGTTCTTCCACATATTCTAGGTAGGTCTTCGCATTTTCAGAGTCAGGAATGGCTCCGCGAATGGCTACAGATATGGAATTCTTAATCACCATGACACATTCGGTTGGACCTCTCCCACTGTTCATAAGAATGCTTTTGTTCCACAGTACTTTCATTATTAGGAGCACCTGGTGGATCCATTCTCAGTGCTTGGTCGAGGTCCATCATGCCAAGTGAGAGTTTTATAGATTCTCTCCATGTTGAAAAGTTTGTACCATTTAGAGGTTCTATCCCATAATTGTACGGAGTAAAAGTAGATGCTGAAATAAAAGTTTTAAGAGAGGCAATAATAGAAACTATTCATAATATATAAGGGAATACAATAAGGAATGTCAATTATTAGTAAATAAGCTTATTATCAACACCAAATAATAGGAAAAGTTCATATCATGCTTAATAACTAACATTGCGTTGGCTAATGCTAACTATCAAACATTATGATATTAAAATTAAAATTAGGCTGCAAATATGTCCATATATCACCTTTGGGCAGAAATATAACACATTCATTTATGCTTAAATTTCATTACATAAGTTATCAAATAACACACCTTTGGGTTTGTTATTTGAAAACTCATATAATTGTATAAGATAGTCAAAATCAATAACACACCTTTGGGCCGATCATTAAATTTGACACTAAGATAATCAATCAGTAATCCATACTACAACTTCGAATATGGAAGCAAATATGAATTTGATGCAATATTGGTCCTAAATCATGGACTATATTTTAAGCATCATGCAAGTTGCAAATGATCAGATTAGCAGATCGTTTACGTGTTTATATGATCTTAATCAATAACACAAACCAACAACATTATCTGCACTTGTAGCAGATTGTACTCTTCCGTCTGCACAATCGGCAAATTTAAACACGTACACTACGCACTTATCTTGATCAACCAAATTCATTCATTTTAAAACTGAATTTAAGTTCAAGAATAAAGCAACAGACTAATGCATACGGAAATTTAGACATAGTCATATACATCACTTTAACATATGTATATACGGAAGTGAATCATTAAATGGTGTGGTGTCAGGCACTTCTTACAACGGATGCATCAAAATGAAAACCCCATAGTAATGGTTAACATCAGAATTGAGTTTTAAACAATGAAAAAGAAAAGCATCGATCATATTCAAAAAACTGATAGTGCTAGATGATGTCGCCACTTAATCCATTTAACAAGCAGAATACAATTTAAAGCCAACACTTATCTTTGTAATACGGTGACAATACATTTAAAGCCATCACTTTCATATGCAGAAATAGAATTATATGAGAATCATAACTAATAGATGGGATAGGCACTTCTTATACAAATTATGATTCATACAAAATCGGCAACAACAAATAAATCATTTGGGCAGATTCAAACTTCAAATTTTATCAACGTAAAACACCAGAATTTCATTAAGGCACTTCGTATACAGACAACAAAATCTTAAACTAAAAGAATCAGTGTAGAATCCAACGGAAATAATATCAAGGCAGATTGAAAACTACGAATTTCATCATGGTAAGCAAGAATTAACACGGCTCTGATACCAAATGTTGAGAAATTCAGTCCCAATTAAGGATCTAATCTCACTAAAACATGATAAAATTCATATAATCAAACAATAAGAACACTAACCGGTTGGGGAGAAACCATGCTTTGATTGTGTTGTAGAAGATGATGAAGCCATTGATTATAGATTCTCTAAGGATACAAGCGGATTTCGATGGATTGAACGATCTCCCTTGGGTCTCTTAATATAGGTGTTATTGAGACCTTTGGGAAGAAACACGTTCTTTCGTTTTAGTCGTAAGAGGAACGAACGAGCCTTATATCTTGTATCAAAGAGAAACCTCATTGGCCCTTATGTATTATTTAATGTTAAAACATACCCATCATATGTTAACTATACATAAATACAAGGACCAAATCTGTCATATGGCAAACTTAATGGTAAGACATAAATGTCTCCAATTTATATTAAATTATATAAATGGTCCAAGGGCACTTAAATGGAATATTTTCCAACTGAGTTTTCCTTTGTTTAAAAATACGGAGTAGTACTTTTCACATTTTAATTTTAAAAAAGTTAGACATTATTTTTGCGAATAACTGCTTTCACTTAAACTGAGCATTTTAAAGCTAAAGGCTTGATCCAAACAATTTTGCTCTGTTCATTGAATAGAATTGGGGTATACAATCTTTTGATCTTTGCTATCCGAACCTACCGAAGTAGCTGCACCCAAAAATTTTGCTTGGTTCTTTTGATCATGCTAAATTTTTATCTTAAAACACAGTTTAATTGAATCAATTGATTATTAAATCTTTCATACAATGCTAAAACCTGACAAAGCACTACCATTGAATCAAATTGTGTTTTTATTTTATGAAAATTATTTCATTAAATTGCCCGTCCATAATTCTAAATAAACACCATTTAGTTCCAAATTCTAAGTTCTTAGGGAGAGTTTGCAAATGCTTTTGCTTAAACAAGCACTTTTTTAAAGTGATTTTGGAAAAGTGATTAGTAATAAAAGTTGATAGTGTTTGAGAAAAAAGTGATTTTAAAAGTATAAGTTGGTAGTGTTTGGTAAAATAAGTGTTTTTTGTGTAATACAAAAAGTTAAAATCACTTTTCACACAAAAAGCCGAGAAACGCTTTTATAAGTAGAAGTTGTCACTTGAAAATACCTTTTTAACTTTTTTAAGCCAAAAACCGAGAAACACTGATGTGAGTTTTCTTGCACTTAAAAAGATTGTAGAATAGTGGTGAAAAGTACGAGTATCGTCTCCACATGAACGGACAAAAGGGAAATAAGTATTAACTAAATTCAGCGATTAAAAAATAAATAAAATAAATGCGTCGTGCGAGATATGATTGGTATGAAAATTAAACTAATGCGAATGAGCAATTAAAATAAAAGATTGGTTTCTTCTTAATTAACGACGAAGGGAACAGGGATTGATTCCGGGGTAACCAGATTTGTGGCAGATCAGGCCTAATTACATGAAATTAATCTAATTGAGTCTAGCTAATCATTACTAAGTTCTTACCGCTCTCGCGGCGTAGAGTACAATAATTTAGGGGACCAGGCTGATCTCTCATGCGACAAGATCCTAAATTATTGCCAAGACGAGCGAGCTTACGACCCCTTAATCGCTACTAATCTCTTAGGCAACGATTAAGTGTGTGTGAATGTGTTTTAGATTAAATTAGATCTCTCTTAATTTATTCTGCAAGCAATTGTAATTCTTGCGCGCGTTCTAGGTTACAAGAGATATCAGTTAAATTATTCAAACACAAATTAAACGGAGTTCATGCAATTAAACCGACAAGAATCTAGCCATCAATCATGATTAACCCCTTTATCAACCCCAAATCCCTAATTAAACTACTCACAATTCATAATTGAAAAATCCAGAATTGGGATGAATAGAAATAATTGTCATTAATTAAAAAGATGAACTTACAAATAATCCCAGGGTCTTGAAGTAAAATAGCGTAAAACAATGAATAAATTCATCCCTCGGCCTCTCCGCAATGTTCGTAACGTCAAAATATGGGTATGGGGGTCTTATTTATAGAAAACGGGGGAATCCAGGCGTTTTCGGGACTGCTGGGGGGCACGCATGGAGCCCACGCACGGCGTGTATCCCCCAGTGCGTCCGACAGACAAATCGTGCAAAAACGGCCACGCACGGCGTGGGTCCCCCTACGCACGGCCGTGCGTGGCTGGCAGTAGGTTCCTTGCTTTCTCGCCTCAGACGCACGGTCGTGCGTTCACCTATGCACGGCGTGCGTCAAACTTTCGAATTTGACAAAACTTTCTTCATGAAAGTTGTAGATAATGATCTGAAGTCCTCTATCCACCACAACTTGCCTAATGTGATTTGAATCATCCAATCAAAAGATATGATTAAAATGGTGGAAGGTGTCATTCTGAAATCACAATACAGATCATCTGATTTCATTGTCTGTTTTCACCTTCTTCCTCTCCGATTCTCGGAATGATGTCTTCATATGATTTGTAGACCTTGAAGATATATTTCATATGCAACTTGAATCGTGTCCTTTGGATGCTTTTACAAAGAGATATGATTGAACAATTGACAGAAGGTCATCTTGATCGCCGTTTTCCAGCTCTATTCGTCTTCTTTTGATCCCGTAGTCAATCCTAGAGCTCTTTTGTCATCAAATCTTCATCATAAACCTCCCGGCGACATCTAAAGCTCTCAAATCACTCTCAAATGCTTCTCAACTCGTCCCGATTTCTCCTCAAACGTCGGTGCCGAACTCTAAAATCCTGATTTTGACTCCAAATGACACAAAACTCGAACCAACGCCTGGTAAACATAACTTGAGCTAAAATTGAGACTCGTAACACCTTAGATCTAGGAAAACCTTTAAAAGACAATCTCAACACGCATCAAATGTGTGTCTAAATACGAACTTATCAAACACTTTTCTTAAGCAATTGCAAACACTTCCTTAGAGTAGCAGTCGTAGAAAAAGAACTTTGGCGCAGGACTTCAGGTCATTGGGTACCGCAACTCTGCGAGCCCTATGTCGAAGATCCATTTGAGAGGATGGTCTCAAGTCCTTTGATACTTAATTTTTATCTATTATGTACTCCCTCCGTCCCAAATTATAAGATACTTTTCGGTTTACGATGTTTGACCGACGATAAAGCAAACAGATCCCTGTGTGCACTCAAATTAATTTTAGAAAAAAAAATTACATATTCAGAAACTACATTAAAACCGCTACAAAACCTGCAAAAATAATTCAAATTTCATAAAATTTTGATATATAAAGTAAGAGATTAAGAGTGATTTGTATTGACGAAGTCAATAGTAAAGACATTTTATAAAATGGGACAGAGGGAGTAGTACGTAGTATCTTTTATAGAAAATAGATATTTTTCGCTAACTGTACTCTGATAGGTTATGTTTTTGGGAAGACACTTCTAGCACGTGTCATTCCTTCAAATGATATGGGAGTCATATTTGAAGATATTGGTGCACTGGAAAATGGCAAGGATTCATACAAAAATTAAAAGCTGATTATAATAAAGTTAAGGTAGAGATCTTGTTCCGTTAACGTAGTGATAGGCATCCAGCTAAACA